ATCTATGAGGAGAGGCTGATGGATTTCAGTTTATGTAGTCTGCAGAAGAGAAGAGGGAGGAGGGATTTGACAGCAGCCTTCAACTTCCTGAAGGGAGGTTCCAAAGAGGATGGAGAGAGGCTGTTCTCAGTAGTGACAGATGGCAGAACAAGGAGCAATGGTCTCAAGCTGTGGTGCGGGAGGTCTAGGTTGGATATTAGGAAAAACTATTTCACTAAGAGGGTGGTGAAGCACTGGGCTGGGTTCCCTAGGGAGGGGGTGGAATCTCCATCCCTAGGGGTTTTTAAGACTCGGCTTAGAATCACAAAATCATAGATACTAGGACTGGAAGGGACCTCAAGAGGTCATCGAGTCCAGTCCCCTGCCCCCAGGGCAGGACCAAGTACTGACTAGACCATCCCTGATAGACATTTATCTAACCTGCTCTTAAATATCTCCAGAGATGGGGATTCCACAACCTCCCTGGGCAATTGATTCCAGTGTTTCACCACCCTGACAGTTAGGAACTTTTTCCTAATGTCCAACCTAAACCTCTCTTGCTGCAGTTTAAGCCCATTGCTTCTTGTTCTATCCTCATAGGCCAAGATGAACAAGTTTTCTCCCTCCTCCTTGGGACACCCTTTTAGATACCTGAAAACTGCTCTCATGTCCCCCCTCAATCTTCTCTTTTCTTAACTAAAAAACACAGCCTTCCCTCATAGGTCATGTTCTCTAGACCTTTAATCATTCTTGTTGCTCTTCTCTGGACCCTCTTCAATCTCTCCACATCTTTCTTGAAATGTGGTGCCCAGAAATGGACACAATACTCCAACTGAGGCCTAACCAGCGCAGAGTAGAGTGGAAGAATGACTTCTCGTGTCTGGCTCACAACACTCCTGTTAATGCAGCCCAGAATCATGTTTGCTATTTATGCAATAGCATCACACTGTTGACTCATATTTAGCTGGTGGTCCACAATAACCCCTAGATCCCTTTCTGCCGTACTCCTTCCTAGACAGTTGCTTCCCATTCTGTATGTGTGACACGGATTGTTCCATCCTAAGTGGAGCACTTTGCATTTGTCTTTATTAAACTTCATCCTGTTTACCTTAGACCATTTCTCCAATTTGTCCAGATCATTTTGAATGATGACCCTATCCTCCAAAGCAGTTGCAACCCCTCCCAGCTTGGTATCACCTGCAAACTTAATAAGTATACTTTCTGTGCCACTTTTGTAAATTGTTGATGAAGATATTGAACAGAGCCAGTCCCAAAACAGACCCCTGTTGAACCCCACTTGTTATACCTTTCCAGCAGGATTATGAACCATTAATAACTACTAACTGGCTGGATAACCATACTCAGAGATGCACCCACCTTATAGTAGCCCCATCTAAGTTGTATTTGCCTAGTGTATTGATAAGATCATGTGAGACCGTATCAAATACCTTACTAAAGTCTAGGTATACCACATCCTCTGCTTCCCCCTTATCCACAAGACTCATTATCCTATTAAAGAAAGCTATCAGATTGGTTTGACACGATTTGTTCTTTACAAATCCCTGCTGACTGTTCCCTATCACCTTACCACCCTCCAAGTGTTTGCAGATGATTTCCTTAATTACTTGCTCCATTATCTTCCCTGGCACAGAAGTTAAACTGACTGGTCTGTAGTTTCCTGGGTTGTTATTCTTTCCCTTTTTATAGTTGGGCACTAGATTTGCCCTTGGCTTGACAAAGCCCTGGCCGGGTTCATGGAGTCGGGGTTGGTCCTGCCTTGGGCAGGGAGCTGGAGTTGATGACTCCTGACGTCTCTTCCAGCTCTTTGATTCTATGGTTCTAACCCCCAAGGGCTCGCTGATGTCATCCCAGGGCGCGGGCAGAGGGGAAAAGGTCGCGGCATTTAGATCCAGCCATCCGGGGGCTGGGCCCGGCCGTTGACGGCCCCTGTGGCTCAGAGGTCGCAGATCACAGAAGGCTGCGCACCCCTACTCTAAAGGGGACAAAGTTGCCACTTCGGTGGACTCTGTGGGCATCAAGGTGAACCCTGAGTGAGACGGCTACAGCACAGCAGTTCCAGTCTGTGCCAGACAGAGTGGAGATGGCTGGTGGAGCGACTGAGATTGGTGCCGACTGGGACCGAGGCAAAGACTGGGACCGGCGCAGAGATGAGGACAGGCATTGAGACCTGGGCTATGTCTAGACTGCAAGCCTCTTTTGAAAGAGAGCGTCTAGACTGCACATTGAACTTTCGAAAAAGCGGCTTGCTTTTTCGAAAGAAAGCATCCAGTGAGTCTGGATGCTCTCTTTTGAAGAAGCCCTATTTACATTGAAGAACGCCTTCTTTCGAAAGAGGAACTTTCGAAAGAAGGCGTTCTTCCTCGTGAAATGAGGTTTACCGCCATCGAAAGAAAAGCCACGTTCTTTCGATTTAATTTCGAAAGAACGCGGCTTGAGTCTGGACGCAGGGGAAGTTTTTTCGGAAAAAGGCTACTTTTCCCGAAAAACCCCCTGAGTTTGGACGCAGCCCTGGAGTGGCTTGAAGAGCGGGACCAACACGGAGCCTGGGACCAGTGCTGAGAGTACTGCGTCAAAGGCCGGTGCGGGGACGAAGACGCACACTCCAAATAGCAGCAATGGGGCGAAGGTCCGTACTCTGCAGAGCGATGCCAGACCTCGGTACAGTGCCGGGAAATCCCCTCTGTGCTGGAAAACGGTACCAAGATGAAGGGGAACACTGACAATTCCCAGACAAGGCAGAACTTGAGCGGCACCGTGAGGCCTCTTGATGTCATCCACAGGCACAGCTGGAGCGTTGCGAAGACCCTGAAGCCGACAAGATCTGCTCTCCAAAGAAGCCCTGGAGGGAGAACGGCTCCAAGGGGACCGGCTGCGAGAGCAATGCCGCAAGTGTGACTGATGCGGCAAGTCAGGCAGGGGCTGGAATTGGTGGGACTATCGTGGCCAGATTCCCCCATAAAGGCTGCTGGGAAGTGAAGGCCTTGTCCCACCATGGGGACTGTGTCATCTCGTTGAGGCCTCGTATGGCCTCGAAGGTGTCCTGTGGGAAGGACAGGCCCATCGCCAATGGTTCACCCCTCGGAGACTCCAAGAGGATGGGACTTGGTGCATAGGAAGGGCAGGGTGGTTCGGTGCCGTGTGTCCAGGAACACTAAGGGGCTGCCAACACCACAGGTACAGAGGGAGCGGCCGGTGATGGACACGCCAACGCTGAGGACCTGGCCGCTTAGGAAGGCTGTGCCGGGGAGTGAGAGTAGCGCCAGGTGGATGCCGCAGGGGAGCAGTGGTACCAAGGGGTTTCCTTTTTACTGCCACTCCTGGATCCAAAGGAGGCGTGTTGTGCACTGAAGCACTTGGCACCGGATTCTCCATCTGAGATCTCAAAGCAGATTCCATGAGGAGCTGCTTCAAGCAAAAGTCCCACTCCTTTCTGGTGCAGGGCCTGAAGGCCTTGCAGATCTCACTTGTCCATCCAGTGGCCTTTCCCCAGGCACCGGAGACACAAGTCGTGGGGGTCACTTGTTGGCAGAGACTTAAGGCAAGACCTGCAGGGTTTGAAGACCTGGGACCTTGACCTGTCCTGGGCCCCGAAGAGAACATGGGCTGGAAGGGGAAATCCCCTTCACCTCCAGCTACTAACCCCACCCCTAAGTGAACAACTACTAATCTAACCGGACAGCCAGCACAGAGCTGGTTGAGCGAGGGATACGAGGGACTTGCAAAGCAAGAGAGCCACGAGCTCCAACAGCCGTCGATGGCGGTAGGAAGGAACTGAGGGGTGCTTGGGTCGGCAGCGTCACACACAGTGTGCAGCACCAGCACCGTTCCCGGGAGCTCCACAGCCAGCCCAAGGGTCGCAGCTAGGGAAAAACGTCCAGTAGTTGCGTAAGCAGTGCGTACACAACTCAACTGGAACACGTATGAGCAAGCACTCCAAGAACTACCCAGGTTCACATTGCTATCAGCAAGGGCGGTTTCCCCCAACACTAATTACTGGGGAAGATGATGGATTCTCTGTCCCCTGGGCCCTTGAGTCAAGGCTGGACACGTGTCTAACAGGCACGCTGGCACGCGCAGAGATTGTGGGCTCAGCAGGCACAAGAGGAGTGACAAAATACAATGGGTGCTCAGAATCCTCAGGCAGCCCCCTAACCAGCTGCATCCCACTCACTCAGTCCCCCCCCATCCACTCTCAGTTCTTCTGCAGCATGCAGGGGGTGCTGGAGGGCAGGGGGAGGATGGAGTGGGTATCATTTATTGGGGGGGGGGAGCTCTGAGCTTCCCTAGTCAGGCTGGCGTTGCCCTGTCCGTGCAATGTCCCCAGGAGGGCCTGAGCTCCCAACCCTTCCCACCCTTCATGGCTCAGGCTGGAGCTGGTGCCACCAGTCGACCTGCCATATGGGACTTGGTGAGGCTGGAGGAGATGCCTGTCCAGGGCTCTCAGAGCAGGGGCACTCAGGCCTCTGGGGCCAGCAGACACAGTGGGGATGTGCCAGCCCCCAGAGGGGGAGGGAATGGAAGAGGAGGACTAGGTCCTGGGGCAGAAGTGGAGGAACCAGTGGCTAACCTCCCCTATAGCCAGTCACCTGCTCCCTATGAGGAGCAGCGGGGGCAGAAAGAGGTGGGGGGAAGGGCACATCTAGCGAAAGAGGCAACATTGGGCAGGAAGCAGGGGGCCAGGAATGGAAAGTGGCCGTGGAGGTGGGGCAAAGAGGGATGAGCCCTGGGACAGAACGGGAGTCCTGCACCTCCAGCAACTCGGGAAAGACAGTGCCACTCTGTTTACCCTACAGCTGAGAGTTGCCTGGGCTGGGAAGCCAAGTGGGTGGGGCTGCACCCACCCTGGCCCAGCTGTGGCTAGGCCTCTGCCCCACCTGCAAAGCACTCTCCGCCTCAGGCAGCTTAGAGGGATCAGGCCACCTGGCTGCCTAAGAGACCCGACCCCCCGTGCCTGAGCTTGGAGGACTCAGCTCACTGCAGACAATGGAGAAGTAACTCACATGGCGTTGTTGAGTTCATGGTAATTCTGGGAGTCTCCCACGTAGATCTGGGCCCCCTTCAGTCTCTCCCAACAACACTTGTCTTCCCTGTTCTTCACAATCACCATGGAAACAGAATACCGGCTGCCCAAGTCCACGCTCCACCACGGCTCTCTGTCGAGCTTGGTGTGGCTGCAGGAGCCCTGATCTTGATACCCATCACGTTTTCCGTCCACGGCCCTTGCAGGCACGGATATCCCAGTGTTGTCCTCATACGTGGACGACTGATTGGCCGTACGTTGCAGCGCCAGGTTCTGAGCTGGAATCAGAGGGCGAGAAGAGGGGAGGTGGGATGAGCCCATCGCCAGGGCCTCGGGATGGCTTTCATCCCAAATGACATTAGAACCAGGCACTGCGTGAGAGCCAGGTTCACAGTGGGTCTCAGGGCCATGCGGGCAGCAGGGACTGGGGTGTAACGTAACAGGGCACGTCACTGTGCCAGCTCCTTACCCCCTGGCGTTGGGGTGCAGTCCTGAGAGACCCCAGGCTCTGCGAGGATCCCAATCACCATCCACAGGCACCAGAGAAGCGCCATCCTCGCACTGCCAACACAGGAGATCAAAATCAGCTACGGTCATGGCGCGGTTCAGGTGGCACCTCCCACCCACCGGCTGGGTCTGATTTTTCCAAGAAGGAAACTGAGACACAGGGAGCAGCCAGTTGTCTAAGATCCTGAAGCAGGTGTGGGGCAAACCTGTGGCTGGAACCAGGGTGCCTGACAATCTATCCCCCTCCTCTGCCCACTGCACTATCTCTTCTGATTAGTTTCCACTGGGGAGGTTAGACGTAGATTAATTTAATAATTGTGTAACTGTATCAAAATGTAGTGATTCCACAATGATTCTATAGACCCTGGGGGCAGGAATGGCAGGCAGTGAACTCCATGGGAGTCCCAGTCGCCCTGTTCTGTTGCCTCTGTATCAGAGGCAGCAGCGCAGGATGGCTGGCGGAACCTGTCTGCAAGGAGAGCTGGTTTAAAAACAGGATCCTCAGGGAGATTGGCTCCCACCTGCCAACCCGCGCCGCTGCATCTGAGACAGAGGCAGCAGAGTGGGGCAGCAGCAGCCCCTGTCTGCAGAGGGCCCGAACTCCCCACAGACAGAGGCTGCAGCACCATCCAAAAGAGCAGCCTCTGTCCACAGTGAGCCTGGGCACCTGGCAGCAGTCCCTGTCCGTGGGGGACCCGAGCTCCCAGAGGACAGAGAAAGCGCCAGCATCCACCCAAGCAGCCTCTGACCATAGTGAGGCCAGCCCGCCACAAACAGTGGCAGGGCTGTGGCGCCCCCGCCACG